AAAAGGAGAGGAAAGAGCAACGTAAAAGTGCACCTTGGGTCTGCAAAAGCCAGGGCGGGCTACCGTGAGGAGACGAGACAGCGGGCTCCTCCTGGCGTCTGCTCTCCTCCAGCCGTCCGACTCTCGGGAGCTCCTGAGGTCTGCACGAGGGTCCTGAGAGTCGCCGGTGCCAACCTGGGGTCTCTGACGGCCCCGCCCACTTCTCCAGCCACGCCCTCAGGCCCCCGACAGCCTCAAGTAGGGACAACCGCAGCGCCCTCCAGGGGTGAGTGGGGGAACCACGCGCGTGGTGTCGTCCACAGCACAGAGCCCGACTCGTGGAGAGGGTGCCGTTGGACACACGCTACAGCAAGGGGAACGGTGACACTCCGTGTAACGGAAGAAGCCACTCCCGAAAGGCACACACTGAGCCTCAGGTGACGTGGCCGCCCTTCGCGCGTCCACGGAGACAGGAGCACGTTAGGGGCCGGGGGGCCAGGGAGGTGACGGGGGTGAGGAACGGCTTCCGGTGACTGGGACACTGGACTTGGCTCATGGCCATGGTTTGGTGGTGTTCGGCATGGGGCCGAGAGAGGAGGTGAGAGCAGCCCGAGCTGTCCTGCCCCGGGCAGCTCGCCCTGGGCACAGGATCTCCTCCAGGCTGGAGTGCCCCGGGGTGGGAGGCAGGGTCCCTGCAGCACGGTAGGGACTGCTCCCCCTGGTGGCCAGCAGTAGCACTGCGCCCTGGCAGGACACCTGAACTGCGGCTGGGCGTGGAGTCCCCCAAGGCCCAGAGGGTGCAAGAGCCAGCCCTGCGTGATGAAGGATTTCAGTCTCCCTTGTCCCCTTTCCCTCTGCTGCCCCAGGTGTCCGGCTCACTCCAGAGGGCTCCAGGCCCCAGCCAGGACAGTGACCCCAGCCACGTCCAACTGAGGACCCCATGAGTCCACAGGGATGGTCTCGCCCTGGACCTAGGACGAGGGGCCCGGGGCTCTAGGTGCCCAGTCCCTGGGCTGCTCTGCTCAGGGGGAGCCCAGTGAAGAGGAACCATGTGCTAGCAACACAGGGGCCCTGGGCCATCAACGGAGGACCGCGTTTCAGAAACTTCCAGAAACTTTCAGGAGCCGCGGGACCCTGCATCACCCGGGCCGAGCATCTAATTCATAGAGCAGGACTGAGTCCTCCTCTCCTGTGGGCCCCCCTCACTGAGGGGTCTCATCCTCTCCCACGTGACCCAATCCATGGGCTCTGGGCCCCAGTGTGTCCTCTTGGGCTGCTCTGGGGGTGTCCCCAGCCCAGGCAGACAGACCCTGGGAGCCTGGGGGGACCCCATCACCGTGGAAAGTCCCCCCTCCCATGCAATGACCCTGGCTTGCTGCTAGGAGACTGGATGCCCCTGGGCCTTGGCAGAGCTGCCTCCAACGTCTTCCTTCTTCCTTACCTCCCAGGGTCCCCGCTCCTCTGCCCTGGGCCCTGTGAGTCTATGTGTGAGTGTGTTAGCATGTGAGGGAGTATAAGTGAGTGTGTGCTGCACTTCTGGGTGCAGCTCATAAAGCAGAGAGGAAATGGCCTACAGAGGAGGGGGAGGCAGGGATCCCCCAGATCTGAGGGCCTTCATTCCCCTTGCAGACCCTGTAGGGCTGAGCCTGGCCTGGGAAGCCAGGCCCCTCCATTCCTGACTGGACACTGCTTACCTCGTGGACACAGTCAGTCCCGTTCTCTCCCCTGCCTCAGTTTCTTGATTGTTCCGGCAGGGGTTGCGCACAGCTCCCAGGACGCAGAAGCCTCCCCTCCCTCAGGCTGATGCGGGGCGCTCTTGGACCTCCCTCCCGGGAGGACACCCGAAACTCCGCACAGGGCAGCTGGGCCTCTGTCCTCTGGACCCAGGACGCCATGCACATGACCCCTGTGCCTGGACTGCCACGCTCCGATGGCTCAGCAGGGCCTGCCTCGTGTCTGTCCCCGTCCCTGCCGCCTGAGCTGTGCCCCCACAGCCTCGTCTGGCCAACTCTACCCCAGTGGCACTGAGAGTGGCACGAGGACTTCCTTCTGCACAAGCTCCAACTCGAGTTAAATTCGCACAGGATGCTAGCGAGGTCCTCCCCTCAGTGTCCCCTCTAGTCAGTGGTCACAGTGGGCAGGGAGCCCTGGGTGCCACCCAGCCCATGGGCCAGCCCCTCCTCCCTGCACAGCCCCTGCTGTGACAAACTGGTGGATCTCAGGAGTGGGGCAACCCCGAGGAACAAGCGGCTGCTGACTCTCCAGACCTTCAACCCAGGGCCCTGTGGTGGAGGCAACCTGAGCACCACCGGAGTCTCCACCTGCCCCAGGCCTCTGTCAAGCTCTGTGTGGATTCCGGGAGCCTTGAAAGCGTCTCCCTGCCGCAGCGCTGCTCAGGCTGTGCCTTTCAGGGTGCCAGGTATCGAGTGTGTGGTTGTGGGGAGTCCAGGCCCCATCCCAGGCCCACCCCAGGCAGCTGGACCCTGGTCTGATACACTGGTGTCAGCGTAAGCATCATGGGAACGACCCCTTTCTGTCCCCAGATGAGCAGATTTAAAGCCGCTGGGCTGGGTGGGCCCCGGGCCAGCCCTGCCCCTCTGGCCTCCTCATGCCCTGTTCCTCTGTGGCCATTTGATCAGGGTCCCTGTGAGTTCACAGCCCACCCGCCCAGCTCCCCAGATCCCAGCAGGATCCCAGGATCCCCAAGTCACTCCCGGTCTGGCCCATCATCCCACACCAGCCAAGGCCTGGCTGGACACAGGCAGAGCCCGCCGCACCCCAGGGCCAGTGCCTGCCCAGCACTGGGGAGCAAATCCACCCACACCCCTGACCCCAGCATGCTCGGCTCGGGCTCATGGGGCTGGCGAGAGCCAGGAGGAGGAGACCACGGACTGGGACCGGGGCCCCAGTGCCGGGATCGGAGCTGCCCCGACCTGGACAGGGGGCTCCTTGTGACGTCACTCTGCCTGTCGTGAGAGCCCCCCAGTGCTGGCAGGGGGACCCGGTGTCCCCAGCAGGGGGAAGGGGCGCACTGCAGCCGCTGCCAATGGCAAGTCTTGCTGAGGTCCCCGAGAAGTCAGGTTTGCAGAAACACAAGGAGCCCCGGGCAGGCGCCAGCCAGGGTCCGGAGTCCAGGGAGCTGGAGCGGATGAGGAAGCCCTGGACGGCGCAGTGGGAATGTGCTTACTGCCCTGAGCCGGGCACTAGACATGGTGATGGTGACAAGTGTCATGATCTGCAGAGTCACACAAGTAAGAGCCAAGGAAATTCGCGCCTCCTCTCCCAGGGTGTGAGCTGCTGAGGACACTGGGGACGGCGACGCAGAGCTGCAGAGCTGCACTTCTCAGCCCCAGGCTGAAGCCCAAGACCCAGGCGGCTCTTCGAGGTCCTTCTTGCTGTGTCCTCTCGTGGCGAAGGGCGTGGGGGACAGTGCGGCCTCCTGAGCCGCTTTGGGAAGGGCCTTCCTCCCCTCTACCAGGAGGGTCCCCGAGGGCGGCCAGCTCCACACGGCGACGCCTGGTTTCCTGGGGGCCACCTCCAGAGCACAGAGGCCACTGTGCAGAAAGAGGCCGGCAGAGTGACCGGCAGACAGCTGCGCCCCGAGCGCCCACTCCGTCCAACTTCATGGACGCCCCCGAGTCACCTTCTTGGCTGAGACGCGGGTGACCCGGGGACGTGGAGGAGGGAGGCCCTGTCCTTGCCTCATGCTGCTCCGGATGCAGCTTCCCAAGCCGCTTCCAGGGCTCTGCGCCCTGCCCCGCCCAGCACAGGCCCCGGGGGCTGCCTCAAGGTAAGGCCTGGGGCCCAAAGTTCAGGAGCCACTCCGGTCCCGGGGAGCAGGTCTAGGAGCCCTTGGGGTGGCAGATCCACGCGTGTGCAAGTCCCCAACATAAAATGACACAGCGTGTACAACCACATAACCTGAGCGTGACCTCCCTGTGCTTCAGTCACCTCTAGGTTACCCAGGACACGGGACACCACGAAGCGTTCTGCGGCATTGTTGGGAAGTAAGACAAGAGAACAGTCTGCTCAGCTCCGCACAGACAGCTTTGTCCGGAAGCTTCCGGTCCACGGTTGGTTGGAACCTCGGATGCAGAACCCAGGGACGCGGAGGCTGATGGGACCATGCAGGTGGCATCGTGTAGGTGGCACTGATGGAGGCAGAACCATGGCCCAGTGGGAGGCAGAGGAGCCAGTGGCTTCCGGTCAAGGCTGGGCGCTTGTGGCCTCGGCTAGAAGACTTTCTGGACGGGGGCCCAAGGCCATCTCAGCCTGTGTGGGCATCTGACACCATGGCTTCCCGGGGCAGGGCCGGAAGTGAGCAGTGGGCAGAGTGTGGGGTCACAGCTGCCGCTCAGGTTGCAGGGGTCGGAAGGGCAGGGCGGGAATGAAGCACACGCCGAGTCCCTCAGGACCTCGGCCTCTGGGCCGTGAGCAGAGGTGTCTGGGCAGGGGCAGAGGTGGGGCCGGGAGGCCTCTGCAGGTGGAGCTGGGGTGCAGGGTCGAATAGGGTCCCCCCAGATTCCATGCCCCAACCTGTGCACGTGACCTTGTGTGGAAACTGTTCCCAGAGGTGGACGAGCTAAGAGGGCTCCCACGCTGGCCCCAGACCCAGCGACGGGTGTCTCTGGGAAGGGGGAACTCTGGACCCGGAGACAATGGGGGCAGAGGCTGGGGCCGGGGCGGAGCACGGGTGCCGGCAGCACCAGGGTGGGCAGAGGCTCTTTCGTTCCGGGCCGCCCAGTTTGGGGCCTTGTGGGGGCCCAGCACCCTCCCGCCGCTGGCTGAGCTGGGGCTGTGAGGCTCTGACCTCACTGACCAGCTGGACACTGCTCTGGTCCCCACCTGTGGCTGGCAGCCCACTGGCTCCTCCCTGTTGCCAGGCTTTCTGTCTGGCTGAAGGAAGATGCTCCCCAGCCTGCGACTCCAGGCCCCCAGCCCCGAACAGCGCCCTGGGCCTTTGAGCACTTTCCCTGTGCCTGCCCACGCGGGAATCTCCAGGACGCCACTCTGACCACACTGTGGCTCTCTCATCATGCCCTCGGGCCACCTGGGCCACTGGAGAGCATCCGGCCCCTGTCTGCCCCCCCCCAACCTGGACGTCCAGGCCAACCGAGCGACCACATGGAAGACGGACATCCAGCAGCCGCCCTCGAGGCCCAGGACCCTGGGAGCCACTACTCCACCTGCAGCGAGCATGGCGGCTCTGCTCTGGGAGGGGGCACAGGTGTGCATGTGCCTGTGAGTGTGCATGCACGTGAGTGGGCGTACAGCTGTGCGTGCATGTGTTTGTCATGTATGCACTGTGCAGTGCGCACTGTACTTGTGGGTGGTGACTGTGTGCACTCGTGTGCATGTAACAAGATGAGTGTGTGCATGAGTGTGTGCACGTGTTTGAATGCGTGCAGGGTCTGAGCTTGCACGTGTGTCCCTCCTCCTTCCTGTCCTCCTCCCCTATCCCCTGTCCCTGGCAGGGTTAGGATGGAGATGGCAGCTGCCCTGGGCACTGCCAGCCCTGAAGGGGACACAGAGCCTGAGGCCCCCGGGGCCAGGTGGCTGCTCCCAACCTGAAGAGCTGGGCTGCGTGGGGGCTGGAACTGGAGGCCACCGATCTGGACACAGGCAGTGAGCTCTGTCTGTGTCAGTCCTTGGCTCTGTGACCTTCGGCCGCCAGGTGTGAAGGAGCCCACAGAGGGAGGGACAGGCCCAGGGCCCCTCCCCATGGCCCGCCCTGGCCAGGAGCCGGGAAGGAGTGGTCAGGGCTCTCCTGCGTCTGGGATCCGTCCCTGGAGGGCGGGGGGGTGCATGGCATCCCCCGCCCTCCTCCAGCCAGCCCTGGGCTTCCGGTTCCGCTCATCAGCCCAGAAGCATCAGGCGTCTTACCTGCCAGCCCGGCTGCCCAGTGCAGGGTGCTGGCGAGCAGGATGTTCACACCAACGCTGCTCGCCAGGGCAATTAACAACTGCTGGGGGCAGCTCGAGAGTAAGGGTGAAACCCGCAGCCGCCCACAGCAGGCCAAGTGCCCTGCGCCCCCTGGCGGGCTGTGAGGAGGACTCGCCAGCAGTGCTCCTGCCCGAGACTCCTCCAGTGGGTCAGAACCAGCAACACCATCCTGAGGAGCAGGTGGACATCCTCGGGCTCAGCGCCCGGCAGCCCCTTCCGAACAGCCCAGGGGCCAGACCGCCTCGCTGGGGAATGGGTTCAAAGCGGCCCGAGGACAGGGTTGTCCTGGCCAGCAAGGCCCCAGGGAAGGTGCGAGGCCCGCGTGTGGTTCCCACTGAGCTGCCTGCGAGGAGAACAGCCGAGGTCTAATGGGGGGCGGGCCAGCCTCAGATTCAAGCGGACGGCCCAAGGCGCTGTTCACCATAGGGAGGGGCAGGGCAGCTGACAGGACCCACACTGACCGAAAGGAGCCTCACCGTGTGCACAGCGATTCCACGTGTGCAGCCCCTGCAGACCGGCGCTCCCGGGAAGGTAGGATGCGCTGACCACAGGCCCGGCTCAGACGCCCCAGGGTCTTGGTTTTCCTGGTTCCGGGCATTGGAATGCATCGTGCACCTCCCGACAGGACATGCGGTGGCTTTTAAACTTAGCACAGCGGCCACCGGAGGCCTGGCCGTGGCCTGGGCAGTGCCATGGGAAAGTCCAGGGGTCCTAGGAGCCTGGTGGCCGTGGGGAGGCTGCTCACCCGGGAGGACGCACAGGAAGCAAGGCCGATGTCACTGAAGGATGGCGCGGGGCGGGGAGCTCCCTGATCCTGGGCCTGAGGCCCAGCCCAGTGAAAGGTGCAGGGTGAGCCCAGTGCGTTCCGAGCCCACCTGCAGAGGCTTCCAGCTACGCGGGAAGGAGCCACCTGGGTCCTTCTGGTGCTTCTAGTAAAACATGACAGGAAAGGCCAGGCATGGTGCCCACACCTGCAATCCCAGCACCCTGGGAGGCTGAGGCAGGAGGATGGCGAGTTCCTGCCCAGCCTGACAACTTAGAGCCTCGGTGAAACCCTGTCTCAAAAAACAAAATGAAAAGGGCCGTTTTCCTCCCACTCTGGTCTCATCAAAGCCATTTCCTCCCCCAGGTGCTCCAACCAGGCCCTGCTATCACCTGTGAGTCTCGCCCGGCATCCCTCCTGCATGAGGCTCTCCCCAGCCCTCTGCCAGGTGGCGTGGGTGTAGGTGCACAGCTGCTGCGTGCAGTGGCTCCCGGGCGGCCTCAGGCCTGTGACTGCTGGTCCGGCTGCTGTAACTGACCGGGCACCAGACCAAGGGCTGCGCCTGCCTGCTATGCTCAGGCTCCCGGCCCAGCTGCTCGCCTGATGCCTGGCACATGGCACACAGGTGCCTCTGAGGGTCTGGGGGATGGGTGAGCAGCTTCCAGAGACGGTGCAGGACGTCTGGGGCTGAGGGCGGCAGCACGGAGAGGACGCGGGGCCAGGCTTCTGCTGGGCAGGCCGGGGCTGCTCAACAGCAGACAGGACCCTGCGCCAGGCCCGGCACGGCTCCTCCTGCCAGGGGCTGTGCCCCCTCCGCTCTGCACTCAGAGCCAGAGCCCCTGGGCTTCCTCCAAACACGGCCTGGGCTCAACAAGCTCCTCCACGAGCCACAGAAGGGGCGACTTGTCATCTGCAGCAACACCAAGGGCCTGGGGTCCTGAATCCCAGGATGAGCAGGGGACAGGTGTCACGGCAGGAGGGTGTGCGTGCAGGAGGCTGGGGGGACAGAAGGTGTGAGGGGGGTCCTCCTGGAGGCTGCAGGGGACCCAGCCTGGGCAGGCAGAGCCTTTGTCCCCAGAGCCCCCTCTCTGTGCGCCCTGGGCAGGACCAGCCAGGCCTCGGGAGGCTGGGAGGCCTGGGAATGCACACACGGTGCCTGGGGCTTGGGCTGCAGGGTTGGAGAGGCACATGGACCCTCCCACATCTCTGGCCCTCCAGAGGACCCCTGTCCAGCGGGATGGGCAGGCCCAAGACCCTGGTGGGGCAGGCAGTACCGTCTTTGGGGAGCACGGCCGCCTCCCTGCTGAGCTCCAGCACAGCACTCGTGTCCATGAACTCTCTCAGATGCAGGAAGCTGGGGACGCTCTGCCTGTCTGCGGGGGCGGGGCCACGGCACAGTCGCCCTCTGGCATCGGGGCTGCACCCCCCTGCCGAGGCCATCCTGCCCCTGTGCCATTTCCAAGGCTCGAGGCTCAGGGCTGGGGTCACCGTGCGGGGCGGGCACCCGGGGGCCTCTGCTGGCACGGTCACTCTGGACCCTCGGGGCCTGTGCCCGCCTGCGCACAGGGGGAGGCTGGGACCCCCTGCACCCTGGCCACTGCACCCCAGCCTGGGGCCGGAAGTGGGCTCAGCCGCTTCCCCCACGCCCTCACTGCCACCCAGGGAGGACCCCGCCACACGCTCTCCTGGCCCCGGTCCCGTCCCACCGCCCGGCCTGGCCCCTGTCACCCGGGGCCGGGAACCCCAGTCTCCCAGATCCCGCACAGCCCGCCCACCACACGGCAGCCCCAGGTCCTGACCTCCCGCCACCCCTGCCCTGGCCGCCCCAGGCCCCCACCCTGTGGTCTCAATTTCCCTGTCCCCTCCGGCC